GGATGACATATATAAAGCCTTGAAGGAAAAAAACTGCCAGCCAAGAATTATATATCCAGCAAAACTGTCTCTCAAATATGATGGTGAAATTAGAGCATTTCCAGATAAACAGAAGTTAGGGAATTTGTAAAAACCAAACCAAAATTACAAGAAATACTAAAGGGAGTCCTCCAGTTAGAAAATCAGTAATATCAGCTAACAACCCAAGACTAGAACACGGGACAGAGCAACCAGATATCAACCCAGATAGGGAAGTCACAAAAGTAAATCAAAGCTAAAACACTGAAAGTAGGGAAACAGACGTCAATATGTAAAAGATGACAACATTAAAACAAAAAAGAGGGACTTAAAAAATGTACTCACAGATTTTTCATATGGAGAGGAAGTCAAGGCGACATAAAGAAATAAAAGACTTGTATAAACTTAGAAAAATAGGGGTAAATATTAAGGTAACCACAAAGGAAACTAACAATCCTGTAAGTCAAAATAAAAAACTAGAAAAATATAAAGACTCAGCAAACACAAAATCAACAACAATGAAAAAGATGAAAAGAAAATACATAAAGAAAAACAACTCAGCACAGAAAATTGAGTGGAACAAAGCAACTGTGAACAACACACAAAAAAAAGACATCAAAATGACAGCACTAAACTCATACCTATCCATAATTATGCTGAATGTAAATGGACTTAACGCACCAATAAAGAGACAGAGAGTGGCAGATTGGATAGAAAAACATGATCCGTCTATATGCTGCCTACAAGAGGCACACCTTAGACTTAAAGACACAAACAAACTAAAAGTCAAAGGATGTAAAAAATATATATTAAGCAAACAACCCTCAAAAAAGAGCAGGAGTGGCAATATTAATCTCTGACAAAATAGACTTTAAAGAAAAATCCACCACAAATGATAAGGAAGGACACTATATAATGATTAAAGGGTCAATACACCAGGAGGATATAACTGTAATAAGTATTTATGCATCCAATGACAGGGCTCCAAAATACGTAAAACAAACTCTAACAGCACTGAAAAGAGAGATAGACGGCTCCACAATAGTAGCAAGAGACTTCAACACACCACTTTCAGTGAAGGACAGAACATCCAGAAAGAAGCTCAACAAAGACACGGAAGAGCTAAATGCCACAATCAACCAATTTGATCTCATAGACATATACCGAACAGTCCACCTAACAGCAGCCAAGTATACTTTCTTTTCCAGCGCACATGGAACATTCTCCAGAGTAGACCACATATTAGGCCATAAAGCAAGCCTTAACAAAATCCAAAGCATCGAAATATTACAAAGCATCTTTTCTGACCATAAAGCCATAAAAGTAGAAATCAACAACAGAAAAAGCAAGGAAAAAAAATGAAACACATGGAAACTGAACAACACCTTGCTCAAAAACTACTGGGTTATAGAAGAAATTAAGGACGGAATAAAGAAATTCATAGAATCAAACGAGAATGAAAACACATCCTACCAGAACCTCTGGGACACAGCAAAAGCAGCGCTCAGTGGTCAGTTTACAGCAATAAATGCACACATCCAAAAAGAAGAAAGGGCCATAATCAAAACATTAGCCCTACAACTGGAACAAGTAGAAAGAGAGCAGCAAAAGAAGCCCTCAGACCCCAGAAGAAAGGACGTGATAAGAATTAGAGCAGAATTAAATGAAATGGAGAATAGAAAAACAATTGAAAGAGTCTGATTGTTTTTGCTGTTGGCCCTCTCTGCACAGGGCCCCCCTTTTTCTTTTGCTGTCTATACCCTGGGCCGAGTCCTCCTGGCTGGCATGACTAAACCACTCCTTGGCTTTTCCATTTTAAGGGGCAACAAAGGACATCCTCTCCGGCAGGTCCTGGTTTCCATCCCTTGGGCTTTCTGTGCCTCCCCTCTGCCTCCCCTCCAAGGACCCTGATACCTACTGAACTATGCAGCTCAAGCCCAGAGAGACGAGCCCAAGCAGGGTAGATGAATGCTGAATAATTGGAAACATGAGCTCATCCCTGCTCCATGCTGTTCCTCTGATTCTGCTGGGAATCTGGGGCAATCAGAAAACAGGCTCCCCTGCCCCTGACCTACAGCCGTCCTTCCTCCATGCTTGCCTACTAGCAAGCCTTTCCAGCTTTGTTTTTAGCCTGGTGTCTTTACCTAAATGCCTCCTGGTTGAACTGGACTCTCTATATACCTTCCCATTCCTCCAGTGTCCATATTTCCAGAGGTTCCATGCCATGAGAGGCAGCATGATGAGACCTGGATTTGAGTCTAGTCTAGTTGGTTGGGTCTGGGCAAGTCACCAAACCTTTCTGAGCCACAGTTTCTCATCTGTAAAATCAGGATAATAATACCTGCCTATTCCAAGAATCAAATGAGCGAGTGTGAAGGTGCTGTATAAACTGTAAAGCAGCACTTCCCAAACTGTGTTCTGCAGAACTCTGCTGCTGGGAAAGATGCTAATAGGATGTTAAGAGGAAGAAAAATAAAGTTTAGGATCAAGATTGGGAAAGGCTGGCCTAAACAAAATGAACCAAGCTTCTTTACTATAGGACTTCTCCTAGCCTTTAATTTGCCAATGAACATTGCAAATCTCCAAGAGCAGGGTACAAAATATAACTTTTGTCTGAGAACCAAGTTTTTCATGGACTGTTTATTAACATCTCTTAGGTTTCTGGCTTCCACAGCATTTAGTATATATCAATACTATTCCTCCTATAAATAATACTGCTAATCTTTCCACAAGACTTATTTCATCCCCAATCCTGGGTAATACTAATTAATCAGTGTCCAAAAAAGCATTACCTGAGCTCCTTCAATCTTCTCAACATTGTACAATGTACTGAGGGAAGAGGGGACCTGGATTGAAGGCCTCTGCCATCCACCCGTCCCTCCTACTATCCCCACGCTGGACTCTGCCCCAGGCAGCTGGGCGTACTCATTGTCCTATGTGCACACCTTCTGTGTTCTTGCCCTGCCACCACCACTTTCTCCCTGCCAAGGTGCCTTCCTCCCCTGGCTCTGCAACACAATTATAACCCATTCCTCAAGCCTTAGCCCTGACTTCTCAGTGCGAGTTTTTCTAGCCAGTGCAATGTGTTTGAGACAGGATTCCTGGCTCCCCAGCTGGACTGTAAACCCCTAAAGGCAGACAACATTATTTACACTTCCCAGTTTCCTCCAAAACCCAGGATTTGTTTGTGGATTGATTAGTTGCTGCTCTTCATCTCCAGCCCATAAGGGCCGAAAGTCATGCAGCCCTTTTTAGGAAACTTGAACTTCCAACCAGGTATGGGTCCTTCTGAGCTGGAAAGTCAGTATCAGTTTGCTCAGAGTTTTATGCGTTCAAAAGATGCAGGTTGAATAAGACAAGGTCCCTACCTTTAATGACCTCTTGGTCTAGACTAAAAAACATAAACACGTCATTACAAGTCAGTGGGTTGAGTATAATTCTAGAAATAATGTGGGAACATAGAATAGGGTTTATGGTAAGAGCATGTGGGAATCAAGGAGGGCTTCCCAGATGAGGGTCCTGCCCTCCCATCCCACCCTCCTGCTTACAGAGAAGATGTCATACGGAGCAGACATGGCAAGTTTATGGGGGACTGCCTACAGGGAAGGAGTCCTTGGGTGATGCAAATGGTTAACACACTTGGCTGCTAATTTAAAAATTGGGAGTCCACCAGAGGCAACTCAAAAGAAAGGCCTGGTGATCTACTTCCAAAAAATCAGCTTTGAAAGCCCTATGGAGCACAGTTCTACTCTGACACACATGGGGTGGCCATGAGTCGGAATCTATTTAAAGGCAACTGGTTTACCTACAGAAAAGAAAGACCTATGGAGACTACATGGGAGGGGGATTCAACTTTGTTCCCTGGGTCTCAGGCAAGGAGGCCTCAGTGGAGCCAGAGGGTTATGACAGATGCCAGAAGGGGAAGTATAGAATGGGAGCTTTGCATCCCACTCCCATCAAACACACACACATACACACACACACACACACAGTGTCTGTGGGGATCCCACTTCCCTGCTTTTCCATCACACCCTCTCACCCCTCTTCCTTCTCACCTTGACTCATTCTTCTTCTCCTCTGTCACCTCCTGGTCCTTGGGCCATTCATCCTTACCTCATTGGAACAGCCCTGTCTGCTCTCAGTAGCTAGTGGCCTGCTTTGCCGTGAGGATGGTCAGCTCGATACTCCCTTTGGGGGGCCCTGGAGGAGAAGGTCAGCCTTGAGTCAGTGCTTTCTCTTTTCTTCCCACAGAAAACCAAAAGAGACGTCAATAACTTTGACCAAGACTTTACCCGGGAAGAGCCGGTACTGACGCTTGTGGATGAAGCGATTGTGAAGCAGATCAACCAGGAGGAATTCAAAGGTTTTTCTTACTTTGGTGAAGACCTGATGCCGTGAGAGGACGCTCCAGGTGGAGGTTCTCGATGCTGCAAGAAGGGGTGCCGAGAAGATCTTGCTTTCTAGAGGCTCAGAAGGTCATGAATTACTTCTCCCCGGAGCCCCAATCCCATTTACGCTATCTATTTATTACATCCCCTTATCCAGGCCAGCTCCCCGCTCCTTCTACCTAGTGACCAAAAGGCACTCTTGGTTCCTGCCTTGCCAGTAATGCAGAACACATTGGGTCAGAAGTTAGCCACACACACTGCCATGCTTGGACTGTTGGCAAGCCTGGTTTCACTCCTCAGGGTCACCTGGCAATGAAGCAACTTCTATTCGTTTAACTGCAAAGAAAAAAAAAAAAAAAAGCAAGCAAGAATGTTCTGACTCTGCTATTGGACATAGAGGGCCCAACCACCCTTGCTTCTCATCCCTTCTGTGTCCTGCCTGCCACTCCCTGCCCTTCTGTCCAGGAGAAGAGACTGGTGCTCCTTCAGCATGGGGCCGTGCGCCTTCAAGGTGTGCTGCAGGGGGCTAGTTTTGTTGGTTTGCTCTGGAATGGCTAATTCTTGCTTGCTTCGATGTTAGCTTTTGGGCATGCCAAAGTCTTAGAAGTCTGTATCTTGTGGAAGAAATCACTCTTTTGACGGGGGAAAAAAAAAATTGATCTTGGACTCTATTAACACTTGGAAAATACATTATAAAATTCACTTCCTCGTTGACCAAAAGATATAAATTCCTATTAATACAGGTGGATATTAAAGGGCTAATATACAGTGAGAAACCAGTTGTCCAAGGTTTATGCTATGAATGCCTCGATGGTAACGGGGGCTGTATAAGTTCAGAGAGAAGAAAGTAAGTAGTCCTCCTCATTATTAAAGTTCTCCCTGGACACAAAGACCACTGCAGTGATGGCCAATACACTAAGGTTCTAGCAAAACTCGGCTCCCAATCTCTCTTTCCACTTCTGCCCTGAGTTCCCAGCATAAACTCTTATTTATTTTCTGCAGCAATGCGTTATGTTTGCGCACTTCTACAAAATGGTAGTACTACTGTGTCGTGGTTTTTAACAATTAAATGTGTAAAGTTAAATATGCAACATCTGCTTTAGGGACGAGCAGAATGAGGCTAAACAGGGGTTAGGCCAATGGTATCAGGAGACTGAAGAGCAAATTGTGGGAAAACTGACAATGAGGCAAGATGTACTGGGAGTTTTGCTGGTGTGTGACATGAAGTGGTAACTCATGTGGACACTATTTAATGGATGTGATGTTACCTCCTGTAGATACGCTAACAGTGTTATGTTCTTTGATTTCCAAGGGTTCTCTGTGGCTTTGTATAGATGTTTCCCGAAGGTCGTTGATTACCTATTTTAATGAACTGATTTAGCAGGGAATGGAATCCATTCTAACTGTTGCACGTGGATTTCCCAGCTGCCCCGAAATATATATACTTGTGAGTGGCAAAGTGGCACTAATGAAGCTTTTTGCCTTTTGTACATTTGAGACTTTTTTGTATATATTGTTTGCTGCAAGGCCTGTGGAATTAATTCATTGAATATAGAGGTATCAACTGCTGCATGTTCAGACCTATTATAAAACTTTAGTCTATGAAAGAATAATTATAACAACATCCAGGTGCAATACTCTGTAAGTGTATTGGTTTAAGTTACCGAGAGATAAGATGTGTTTCTTTTTTTTTGGGGGGGGTGCTTCCTGTGTATTGTTTATTTCATTTGGGTTTATTTTAAGATGTAAACATATATTAAGCTATATTAAATCTCGTGTATAGTTCTCCTGTGCTCTATTGTGCCCTGATAGAGATGGGGGAGAGAAAGGAATGTTTTTGAAGATGGTTTCAAAGCTTGGACAGTGACTATCTTGAGCCCATAGAGAGTCTGTGTCCATATTTACATCTGGCTGGTCCTAGCCGTTGTTACCAATGATGACATTCAGTTCTCTTTTTGTTTTTATTTTTTAAAAACTCAGGTGTAATTATTATCTATTGTTAGGATAATTTCGAATATGAAATATTATGCTACAGCAATTCATGTGTTTGGTATACCAGTGAAGTCATGAAGAACATTAGATTAATTTAATTTATCTTCGGTAACTTGACCTACTGGGGAGAGACTATCTTCTGGAGTTGAGTACAAGCACAGAAACGGTCTTCACGGTGGCATCATCTCATTTTTTAGGAAGACGTGACAATATTGCCCATCATACTCGTGTCACTACTGCTCTCTGCTTCTCTCCTGCTTCCCTCACCGTTATGAACTTTGGCCAACCAGGCAAGACCTAACTGCCATGCAAAATGGCCTTGTCCACAGGGCTTGGTGGTGTTGCGTGCGTGCCAGCGGGGCTTGGGCCCTTTCTACTGGACAACTGGCGTTTTTGCTGGGAAGTCAAATAATACATTCCACCCAGCAGCTCCAGGCAGTCTGTCAGGGGTTAGCCTGCCCCAGGGAGGCTCCCTCCAGCACCCGCAGGGCTGGCTGGGAGGTTTCCAGCTCGGGGCTGGAGCTGATGAAGTTCTCACATAGGGTAGGTTTAAATCCAGTTCAGGTCTCCAGAAAAAAGGCTTGCCTACTCCTTGAGTGTTCATTGTTTCATTTCGGTTTTCACAAGAGTTTGGAAACGGACACACTGTTACATTTCTCTGCTGATTCTTACTAATCTTTCCAGCTCTCCCTCTCTCTCCCTAGCTCTCTCTCTTCAAGAAAAAAAAAAATGGAGTGCAAAAATATGCCAAAAAATATATGAAGGATAGCTGTTCTTCTGTGTTTTCTCATTATAGACTTTGTGAAGTGCAAACAATTTTTTCCTCCAAAGGTGAAAAAAAAATGCATTCTTGCTTAAAAAAAAAAAAAAACTTTTTAAATTATGTGCAAAATAATTCTGGCTAAATATAAAATATATTCAACTTTAGGCGAGTCATACCCTGAAGTCAGTAGTTTCCCTTGCTTTTTCCCCTATTATTTGCATTCTGTTTAATTTAGCAGTTTCGAGATGCTTTATTTGTACCTTTTTTTTCCTTTCTGGATGTAATTTTAATCTTGCCATTCATTAGTGTTATTTCATTGTAAACATTATTGTGCCAAATGTACTGTATTCAAAAGGATGTGAATGTGTATTGTTTCAGAACCTAATAAATACAATGATGTTAAATCTTATTTTTCAATCCCAGTGAGCATTTTTATCTCCGTTGTGAGTGGCAAAGTGGAACTAATGAAGATTTTTGCCTTTTGGACATTTGAATCCAAAATTCCTAGCCATGGGTTTCAGCTTCCTTGTTCTCTTTGGAAGATGAGCAAAGGATGCAAATGCATACTCTCTGTCTCTGTGGTTCTGGGGCTGCCAACCAAAAGGATACTGGGGCCTGTGCAGATTGAAGAAAGAGACTGAGTGGCGCAAGAAGTTTGCGCTCAACTACTAACCAACAGGTTGGCAGTTCGAACCCACCCAGCAGTGCCATGGAAACCCTATAGAGCAGTTCTACTCTATAACACATGGGGCTGCTGTGAGTCAGAACCAACTCGGTGGCCATGGGTTTGGTTTGGATTTGGTGCAGACTGGACATGGCTCTTAGCTGCCTTTGTCATGAGCTGGCTTCTCTGCCTTGGTGAGCGAGCAGAACAGGCACCACTGTGTTCTCACTTTTCTCTCTCTAGAGAAGCAAATGCTGGGCCTCCTCGCAGCCAGGGCCCATTTAAACCTCTCAGGACTTGGTCTCTGACCTGCTGCTCAGTGCCTCGAGCCTTTGGAGGCCAAGAAGTGCCTCCTAGGCTGGAAGCCCCTTGCTGGCTGGCCTGGAGCGCAGACTGGCCAGTGAGGCCGTGTTGAGCTGGTGCCGTCTCCTTTGCCCAGCCAGCGTTTGTGGCCATCAGGGGGACTCTTGGTTCTCCAGGTTCCTGCTTCACTCTGGTCTCCTTCCCACCACTCCCTTCACATTGCCGGGGTTATGTGCGGCCCCTCCTCTTCTTTCTCCAACACTAATTTTTCAAGAATGTGTGAAATTCCAAGAGTGCACTCTTGAATACATCAGACATTTCAATTAGCCAAAACTCCCTATTCCTTAAAGGTTATGGAGATGCTGAAGTCTTACTTTATTTGTCATCCTTAGGTGAAGTGATGGCTTAATTTGTCACCTTTTCAGCCCCCCAAATCATTTCTTCCAAATAATTTTGATGTATCATCTCGAAAGTACTCACAGTTTTCCCTCTCTCCGCAATGCCGCCCACCTGCCTGAAGGTATAAGATAGCTCTCCAGACCCACGTCGTTGTTAACCCGTTGCGGTTGAGTTGATTCCAACTCATAGCAACCCCACGGGACAGAGTAAAACTGCCCCATAGGGTTTTCTAGGCTGTGATAATGGGAGCAGATTGCCAGGTTTTTCTCTCCCAGAACCACTGGGTGGGTTCAAACTGCCAACTTCCACTTAGCAGCCAAGCGCTTAACCATTGCACCACCAGGGCGCCTTACCCCCAGAATAAGGGTGTGTTTATCACATGGTTTCCTCTCTGATGCAGGCAGCTGTTGCTAGATAAGTAACCCAAGGAGAAGCAAGCTTCCCACCGGCTGGTCTGTCTTACCGTGACTTTAAATAAAAACCAGGAGAAATGAATAAGCTCTTTGAATAATGCAAATGGTTTGTGCTCATCTAGAACCTAAAGGTTGGCAGTTCGAACTCACCCATCAGTGCCATAGAAGAAAGGTCTGGCAATCCGCATCCATAAAGATTACAGCCGAGCAAACTCTATAGAGTAGTTCTACACGGTAACATATGAGGTCACCGTGAGTCAGAATTGACTCAACAGCAGTGGGTTTTTTAATGGGTTCTAGGAAGTTCAGAATGCATCTCCAAGCATCTCACCAAGTGAAATACGACCAGTCTCTACATGTCCCTTAGCTAGTGGCCCAGAAGAGTTACGGCAGAAAACTCATCCTCTCAAATCTATGTGCTCCACAGACAAACCACACTGAAGCTATAAGGAAGGTCAATTACATATCAGTGTCTCTGGTTTGAAAACTCACCACTCTACCCCTTCCACCCCCACCCAAGAGAGAAAGCCAGGCACTGGCAGGCCTATTCCAGGGAAGCTGTGGCTACTGGTCCCTGACAAGGGTTAGACAGGCCCCAGAGCTGGTCAGGAGAGCCTGTGGGGCCGTGCTCCTGAACTGAGAAACAGCCTGTATAATAGATTTCTTGCAGATGCAATCTGTGGAAAGATTGTCCTTTCTCTATTTTCTTATACCTTTGTACAGTCCTGCACTGTTACCAGCATCCAGAATCCATGAGCAATAAAATTGCAGAACCACTAGGCATGTGTTATTGCAGTGCTTGGAGTGGTAGAGAAATACGGTGAAAAGAAGGCATCAAACCCACATTGTAAAGTCTGTTTTTTACTTTAAAACACTTTAGCATAGACAATGATATTACAGATGTGGTCGTTTGTTTTATGCTATACTTCTTTACGCTTAGTTTTTACCCTATTGGGAATACACCCTCTTGAAATAGACAGCTGGTTGAATAAATAGCGTTTATTCAAAGCGCCTACAAGTGGGTCTTGCTTTAAGGGGCCCTAGTGGTGTAATGGTTAAGCACTCGGCTGCTAACCAAAAGGTTGGTGGTTCAAACCTATTCAGCCGTTCCACGGGAAAAAGACCTGGAGATCTGCTTCCTTAAAGATTACAGTCAAGAAAACCCTATGGGACCGTTCTACTCTGTCACATGGGGTTGCTATGAGTCATAACCGACTTCACGGCACACAACAAGAAGTGCTTCAGCTCACTTTTATCTCCTATCAACACCTGGAGATTTCGTTATTAGCATAAATGATGCTAAAAAGGGATTTTCACAGGGGAAACAGTGGCATATTAATTAGCATAATGGATGTTAGAAAGGTATTTCATTGGTGATATTAGTGGTGGTCCAGATAACTAGGTTGACCAAAAGATTTTAGGGGAAAAAAAAATCCACATTTAAAAGAAAAAAAAAGGGAGAGAAGTATCCAGAGAGACCTCACCTTCCTTACTAATCAGGGAAATGCAAATTTTAATAAAACTGCCATACCACTTCATACTCACCAGGATAGCTAAATAAAAAAGGCAGACAATATCAAGTATTGCTAAGGGTGTGACACAGTGAGAACTTTGAGTGTTTCTGGTTTGAGTATAAAACGGGGCAAGCACTTTGGAAAACGTTGGCAGGATCTACTAAAGCCAAATCTATGCATGTATGCCCTTGACTCAACGGAGAAGCCTATTCACTTTTAATGGGTAAATGAACTGCAGTACATTCAGACAATATGGCACACTCTATAGCAACGAGAATGAATGATTTACAACTACCTACAATAACGCAGGTGAATTTCATAACACAATGTTGAGTGAAAGAAGGCAGGTTCGAAGGCGTACACACTGTATGGTTCCGTTTATATAACGCACAAAAGCAGGCAAGACTAATCTATGCTGCCGGAAGTTACCCTTCGGGGGAGGACAAGAAGTGGCCGGGAGTGGGACGAGAGGACTTCTGGGGTGCCGGTTAAGTTTTGTTTCCTGAGTTGGGAGCAGACAAGAGGTGTGCATATTGTGTGATAATTCATTGAGCTTATGATCTGTGCACTTCCCGTATGTGTGTCAAATGTCAATAAAAAATTACAAAACAAAATCTAGGATGACATTTGTCTTTCACTCAGGGGGATGGCACCCTATGCTGAATCCCTAAACTGCCCTGTGTCTCCCTATTATCTTGATGGGGTGTTGGTTGCCGTAACTCCCATAGAGAGGCTGGTCTTAGCACTGGAAAAGAGTTGTGTTTGCCTCAGGAGGACCTTTCCTGCAAGGCACTGTTGGAAACACGCACCAGGACAGAGAGCTATATTACTTCATGGAGCTTCCAGAAAGGTCACAAGACTCTTCTGTACCTTCTCACTAATAAAATGTTTCTATGTGTCTCAAAGGGGACCTGAGTGGCTCAAGCGGTTTGCGCTCAACTACCCTGGTGGCGCAATGGTTAAGAGGTCAGGCTGCTAACCAAAAGGTCAGCAGTTCGAATCCACCAGCTGCTCCTTGGAAACTCCATGGGGCAGTTCTACTCTGTCTCTAGGGTCGCTATGAGTCAAAATCTACTCGATGGCTATGGGTTTTGGTTTTTACTGATCTAAAAGATCGGCGGTTTGAGCCCACCCAGCGGTGCTGTGGAACAAAGACCTGGAAATCTGCTTCCATAAAGATTAAAGCCAAGAAAACCCTGCGGAGCAGTTCTACTCTGTAACACACGGGGTCACCATGAATCAGAATTGACTCGAGGGCAACACGTGTATGGGGGTGGGGGGGGTGATGTGTTTCAGAATGTGGTCTGAAAGGCCAATGGAGAGTAGCTAGCCCTTCCCCATCACAGCTACCAAGATCTACCAAAAAGAAGGCAAGGGTGTGGCAAGTCTATAGCAACCGAGGTTTGGCTTTAGCTCTTTTGCTTTGCGCAAGTAACTGTACATTTCTAAGCCTGTTTTCCTCATTTTTAAAATGGTCATCATAAGACCTCCTATCTCAAATGCCTGTTGTGAAACATCGGTGTGATAAAAGCTTCTAAAGCACAGTGCACAGTGTCTGTTATTTCTCCTCCCTAAGGGACCCCCTTCTTTGTCAGCACTCAGCCTCTGTCATGGGGAAGACTGACTTGGTCTGAGGAGGTTACTCTTTTTTCCCCTCTCTGGTTTGTTCTCCCTTGTCCTCCAGATGTCTTCCCCGTCAGCACTCCCAAGGGAACTGACACACCTCACCCACCACTGAAGGACCCTCTCTGGGGCAAGAAGAGAGCACAAGCAGAAAAGACAAGGTCCTGGCACCCAGTGAACACACAAATAACAGGAGACAGGA